GTTTTTTTGTTTTTAACGGACTTCTCGCATGTGGAAAGAACGCGTTGCATTTCTGTTTATTGATTTTTGTTGTCTGGGGTTCTCCCCTTATATCCACCAAAAAAAAAATTATTCAAGTAAAAAATAAAACTTCATTAACAATATATTATATATAAAACCCTTTTTCTTTTTTATAAACTTCACCATTCAATGAGAGAACATTGAACCTCAACCTAGATCATATAAAACACAATAAATAAATAAATTAAACAAATAAAAAAAATTAAACACTATATAGATTGAAAACATATTGTCATTCTTCTTAATCCTTGAATTAATAAGAAAGAAATCCTTAAGCTCAAAGAACGATTTAAAAATGTTTGGTATCAACGGTCAAACATAAGCCTTCATAAAAAAAAAATTCTTCTAAAAATATATATATTTTTTTTTTAAATGAGTGGAGAAACATCATGGGCAAACATGTCTTCATCAAATTATTTTTCATTATCACAACTGACCAAAAAGTTGTATTCCTCATATTGTAGGAACAGAACCACTACTTTCTGCATCGAAAATGGGTCTATTAATAATATTTATTATTATACCTATTATGATTAATTAATTTTTTGGGTCTAAAAAAAGAAACAAATTGCTGCAACTATACCACTGGAAATTGTTAAGCCTATTAATATTATTTATTATTATGTATATTAAGTTTAGTTATTATACCTATTAATAATTGAAAAATAAATTTTTTTCCAATATACCATGTGTCTCTTCATAAGTCACTCAATGTACCTATATTCTTTAATGTTTGCATGCTCCTTACAGTTTTCAATACATAATGTGTCTCTTCGTAATTCATGTTATTTGCCCATAAACTTTCATTTTTGCATATATTATCAAATAATAATTTTTTTTTTTTTTTTGGTACATCAAATAATAAATTTTGAATGTGTAGAGAGATGATGAATAGAAACTAGAATTATTGGAGCATTGTATTAAATGTGAAAAGGTTGGAATTCTTCATCTTCACTAACACTCATGCAAATAATAAAACCAAAACTTGATTAGAAATACAAATATCATGATGTTATAATATGCTATTATTAGTTTTATTTAAAAGTATTATATATATATGGGCTTATCATTTCTCAAGCTACTTGAGACAATGTTATCTCCGGCTACTAAATCATAACCGTACAAAGTTGGATCAATGGTGATAAAGGAAGAGAGAGAAAAGGGAATCGTAACCATTCAAAGGTGAATTAATTAATATAAGAAAATAAATAAACAAAACGACGTAGTTTTGGAGTGGCCGGAGATAACATTGTCTCAAGCAACTTGAGAAATGTTTTTTCCTATATATATATATAATTATTAAAGTGTAAAATATTAAATTAAGTATATAAATTCGAATGTTTGTAACTTAATAAGAAATAAAGAAATAAACCCTTAATTTCATCTTTAATTAGTGCCTTTTGGTGATAAGCTCAAATCTTTCTTCATAAATGTTTGGTATGATAGTTCAACGGTCAAACATAAGCTGTCATCATCATAGTTCTTCTGGCAATGCTATATATATAAATGTTTAGACCAACAATTTATATTTACACATTAAATTGTATAATCGATTCTGATTATATGCAAGTTATGTATACTAGCAAATATATCGCGTAATAGATGTATATTTTTATTTTTATTTTAAATACAAAAATATAAGAAAAAATATTTAAGAGAAAGTATATTAAAAACTATAAAAAAAATATGCATAATTTAAATAAAATAAAAAGTAAATTAAAAGAGATGAATATTAGAAATCCTAAAAAAATTCTTAATTAATATAAAATATTTGAATTTAAAATTTTAAAAAGTTAAAAATAATATGTGTCATTCTTTAATAAAGACTAGAATAAAATTTTTTGAATGTATACGCAATTAAGATTTGGAGAGAGAAAAGTACAATTTTTTTAATTGAAAGTATAATCAATTAAGATTTCGGGAGAATAAAAAGTTTAAATATAAAAAGAGAAATTTAAAAGTAATTGATAATTTTTTTTTTTTGTGGAATTTAAAAGTAATTTAAAACTATAGAAAACATAATAGATTACTATCTAGATATAACTATAAGAACCTCTCTTTTTTTATGGATAAGGGTAGGCATGACAACCTTCCCAGAATTAGTTTTTTTATAATTTTGTTCCCGAAAACAGAAATTGATAGAAACATTGCTTGACAAAATCAGTTTATTTTTTGTTTCCGAGAATGAACCAGTTCAATTTCTGTACTAAGGAACAGAAAAAAGAATAAAAAAATTTCTATTTTTTGTTCCTGGACACAAAATTAAAAACACTTTGTCTCTCTCAATCACTATTCACCACTACCATCATCACTACCACTATCATCATCCCGACACCACCACCACCACCATCACCGCAGCCATTGCTATCACCACCACCACGCCAGTGCCACCATCACCATCGCCATGACTAACACCACAATCACCAACCACCACCATCATCGCTGCACTCATTGTCGTCACCACCACCACTACCATCACTACACCACCGCCACCATCACTACTCCACCACAACCGCTGCCACCACCATTACCGTTGCCGCCGCCACCACACCATATGAAAAGAAAAATGATGATCCGAAATTTTTTTATGCTTAATAGGAATATTTTTTATTAATTATTTGTTATGTTATCAAATACAATTCTCATTCTCGGAATAAAAATAGAACATGTTATCAAACATATTTTTTTCCTAGAAAGTGTTCCAAGGCACAAAAATAGAAAAGAAGTGTTTCTTTTAAAAAATAGTGCCAGGGAACATAATGGTTGTCATGCACACCTTAAATATTAAAATCTATTACATGCAGATATAAAATACTGATAGTTAGAGATGGCAAAATGGGCTCAGCCTGCCAACACGTTTTATAATTAAATTAAAATTCTACCCTTCATCTTTTATAATTAAATTCCTAAATCTAGGATATCAAAAAAAGATTTCCTAAATCTAATTTCAATTTTGTAAATACTAATTTGTAAAATTTCAAATACTAAGGCTACAAATCCTTGCAAAAAATAATTATATATTCTTATTAATTACTCAATTAAAGGAAATAATTATTCAATGTTTTGCAGTATATCATTATTTTAATGCTAGTTATGATTAGTTGTTTCCAACCTAGTGAGTAGTTGGCTTTTCATATTCTTCAACAAATTATTATTGGTAAAGTTGAAGTATTATTATGACTAAATACGATGCATTTAATGTATGCTTATATATATGTTAATTTTGTGAAAAATTATTTATACTTGTGCAATTAAGCTAGTTAATGTTCTTTTGATATTATCACATTCAAGTGTTTGTTAGAATATTATACGTACTAACTCAAATGTTTGCCAACTCTTCATCTGATATATATGTCACAAATACACACACCTCATAAAGTTGATTTAGAGGCAATTATAGAAACATAGACAAAGTAATCTAGACGCAACTATAAGAACATTTTTTGTGTGGATAAATATAAAAACTTATTACATGCTAATATAAAAATGCTGAAAGAGATGATCAATTTCTTACAGTAAGAAAAATGAAGGTCCAGCGTAGGGTTTGTTAAGTAATCGGGTTTGGGTCTCCCCCTTTCGATGAGCAACAATCTGACATAAAACTACTACTTAACCTGATCGGCAACCTGAGAAAGTCGAAGGAGGTTATTCAGTAGCCATCGCGGGTTTCATTACTTTTCTTCCATTCCGTTCTCCCGTCAACATATTTTTATAATTAAATTAAAATTTCACTCTTCTTCTTTTATAATTAAATTCGTAAATCTTATTTCAATTTTATAAATACTAATTTGTAAAATTTCAAATACTATGGCCACAAATCCTTGCAAAAAATATTTATTTATTCTTATTAATTACTCCAAAAGTATATCATTATTTTAATGCTATTTATGATTAATTATTTCCAACCTAGTAAGTAGTTGCTTTTCATATTCTTCACCAAATTATTATTGGTAGAGTTGAAGTATTATTGAGATTAAATACGATGCATTAAATATATCCTTATATATATGTTAATTTTGTGAATAATTATTTATACTTATACAATTAAACTAATGAATGTTCTTTTGATACTACCACACTCAACTTCAACTATAAAGTGTTTGTTAGAATAGTAAACATACTAACTCAAATATTTGCCAACTCTTCATCTAATATATATGTCACAAATACACACACATCAGAGAGTTGATTTAGAGGCAATTATAGAAAACATAGATATATAGTAATTTAGATGCAACTACAAGAACTTTTTTTTGTGTGGATAAACATAAAAACTTACTGCAAGCTATAAAATGTTGACATTAGAGGTGACAAAATGGGCTCCGTCTGCCAAATGGAATCGCCCTACCTGCCAACTTCATTTCTTTTTATATTTACCGTCTAATAAACACATATTTGTGTGCCTATGATCATTGGATTTACTACTATAAGTATTTTAGAAACAAACATCTAAATAAAATGAACAATCAAATTGCAATAAATAAAAGTCCATCTCTGATAAATACTAAAAGAAGCCAAGTCAAATTACGTAATTTTTAAATGATTACAGGACAAACTAAAATGCAGCAGTATACTTCTACGATTTGCGTTAACTTTTACGAGACAAATAAATTGATTTATTTTTTTTCTCAGTGTAATACACTAATATTCTTTAAAATGACAAATAATTTTCCTTTTACAAGAATATACGCACTAGTTAAAAAAAATAATTAAGAAAGCAAAAAACTTCATGATGTTTGGGAGGTGGGAAATGGGAAAAATGGGAGTTAGCATACACACTACCCGACGTGTACATCTAGGATTGGTTGGAACAGGCAAAGGCTCACGCTGATTGGCCAGTGTGGACACGAGCATGCTGCAAATCGTGGTCCTGCATTTGAATTGGCAGAATCAATTTCATGACTCCCACTCCAAAACACACTCCCAAACCAAAAAAGAAAAGAAAAAGAAACGCATTCCCCATTCATATGATGATTTCTCCTCGCAATTCCGAATTCAGAAACAAGATCTGAGCCCTAAATTTGCGTTTCCAAGAATTCCTTCCCTCAATCTTCATTCATGGCTCGTCCAAGAGCCAACCTCTTGTTCCTTCTTTGCGCTCTGTGCTATTCTCTCAGTGCCATTGCGGGGTATTCACTTTTTCTCTCTACTTTATTTGTTCTCAAACAAGGCACTGAAATCGCAATTCAAATTCTGTTGTTATATTCATGGCAGAAAGAGCTATTACGATATACTTCAAGTATCGAAGGGCGCATCGGACGAGCAGATAAAGAGGGCGTATCGGAAGCTGGCGTTGAAGTACCATCCAGATAAGAATCCAGGCAACCAAGAAGCTAATAAGAGATTTGCTGAGATTAACAATGGTATTAAACTTGTAATGTCTTTGGTTGTTTCCTATGATTTGATTTTAATTTTTTTTTATTAATTAATTCAGTGATTAATTTGGTTCCAAAGGATGTTATTTATTGTTTCGATTGTTAATGTTATTATTTATCAGCTTATGAAGTACTTTCCGATAGCGAGAAGAGAAACATTTATGACAAGTATGGTGAAGAGGGTTTGAAACAGCATTCTGTAGGTGGAGGCAGAGGCGGTGGAATGGGAATGGACTTCCAAGACATCTTCAGCTCGTAAGTTCCCAACATTTTTCTTCACGTTAACTTCTCTTCCCTATTGTGCTTGGATTGGAAGGTGTGAATATATTACTGTTTCATCACCCACGGTGCCACATATGCTTATTGTTGGAAATTGATTATGAGATATTGAATTTGTGTTTCTTTGATGCCTATGCCTCTTTGTTTCGTGGTAACACTATGAATGCTTCTTTCAGCTTCTTTGGAGGAGGTTCGATGGAGGAGGAGGAAGAGAGAATTGTGAAAGGTGATGATGTGATTGTTGAATTGGATGCAACCCTGGAAGATTTGTACATGGGAGGTTCCTTGAAGGTGAGGTTAAATCTGGCTAATGTTCTGATTGTATTTCCATTCATTGAATCCGTATGTCTATTGATGAGGTGCATTCAGCGTTGATATGAGTCCTATACCATTTTTTTTAACTTAAGCAACATTTGTTGCCAGGGATATGGATGGAAATGGAATTAAATTTAACACTGTCAGTTTTATATGATAAATGAGGACGAGACTTGGAGTGAAGGTCACTAGCTTGAGTCTATAGGAAACAACCCTTTTTGCAAAAAATGAATGGTTAAAGTTGTGTGCAATTGACCCCCATTGAATCTAGGAAACCGTCCTTTTGCAAAAAATGCAATGGTAAGATTGAGTGCAATCAACCTTCACTCCTACACTTGCAAAGTCAAAGAGCCTTGTGCAATGGGGGTTGCCCTTTAGTTTTATTTGATATGGTAACAGCAAAGTACTCTATTTACCTAGCTAGATCAACCAGTAAAAAATTTATAAATAAAATATTAGCTGCAGAACAGAATTGATTTTGGAGCTGCTAAGCAGAACTTGTGTGTACATAAACACTGCCTCAGTCATGTCATACGCATATTCCACATTTATATGGCAGATGATTTTACCTGGAGCATGTCCCATATTGCCCTTCCTATTCTATCTAGGGCGGCCATCGTAATTTACAATTAAGTACATTCAGTGTGCACACACTTCATCACTAGTAAGGCAAAGTCGTAAACTATCATAGTTATTATCTATTTGTTAAGCACTCTGGTCCGGTAGCAGTGTAGATTTTCTCAGATATTAGGTGATTGCTTCTCAATCTCTCTGTGGTCCTTACCCCTTACATTGTAAATATCAGGTTTGGAGGGAGAAAAATGTTTTAAAGCCTGCACCTGGGAAGAGACGCTGTAACTGTAGAAATGAGGTTTATCACAGGCAAATAGGTCCTGGGATGTTTCAACAGATGACAGAGCAGGTAAACATGTTTAAGAATGTTGAAAAAATATTTTTTTTTCTTTCATTTTTTTTTTTTGCTTTTAGTCTTTTCTTTGGGATGCATATCTTATAATAAAAACATACAAATTTCTTGATTGATGACATTTTTGTATGACTGAAATTTTTAGTTAATTTTCAAGCCCAGACAACTTTTATTCTTTTTTTTTTTTTTTCGGAAGAGGGGGTATGTGCAGAATGCAGGTTTATTTTATTCTTGTTAACATATATGAAATTTTTCACTCCTATTTCTTTATTTGCCTGTTCAGGTCTGTGAGCAATGTCCTAATGTTAAATATGAAAGAGATGGTTATTTCATCACTGTTGATATTGAGAAAGGCATGCAAGACGGACAGGTAAGCTTGCAAAGTATATATAAAGGATTTAATTCTTTAGACAATTGGCATTAGGCAATCATTGAAAATATCATGTCTTACTACCCATTTTCCTTTAAGCTCTACCCCGAATCATATATCATCTTAATTTTGTAGTCAGTAAGGCTCCATTTGGATAATAAAGTTGGAATTAATATAGAAATTATAAGTCTGATTATAATTCTAGTAGAATTGGAATTGATTAAAAATCATAATGTTGTATGTTCGAATTGTACACTGAATTTATAAATTCTATCTTGCATTTCACTTCAGCTAATAAGTTCCTGTATTAATTACTAAGTGTCCAAGATTTTACATTTATTTATTTATTAGCATTAAAAATGAGGGGAAAAGATCATCACACACTTTTTTTGAATTTTCTGATGACCATTAGAGCATAAACAAGTGAGTGGTTCAATTTAGGCTAGTACAAAAAAATTCAAGTAATTTTGTATTCCACACTTGAAAAATATTGGTGCATCATGCATAAGAGATGAATGTAACGTTTTAACTATCTAAACATGTCGTCGTACATTTATCAAATCTGACTGAATGATGTTATCATTGATTCTAAGCCAATTAGCGGAGCCCTTTGTTGCTATTTTCTAGTCCTATATATATATATATATATATCAAGGAAGTCCTCAAGATCACGGGTTCCAATCTAGAAAGCAACTTCTTTGCATAAATGCATGAGTAAGGCTCTGTGCAAGGGTTTCCTTATCCCTACCCTCACAAGCCAGGGTTTCATGGAAGTTGTTTTATATATCAAGGAACACCAAAGCTATAGTAAAAGTGGAACAAAGTGTTCAAGTTGGGGTTGGTTGTCCAAAAAATAGTTCTTTTGTGCTTTAATTAGAGAGATCTAGATAGAGAGGGAGAGAGACTCACGGAATAAGAGTAGCACTTAGAAGAAGAGAAATTAATTGATTGTTCTAAGTACTTCAAATTCAAACATTAGACATAGGAGACCAATTTTCAATTTCAAGGGTGTTCTAGATTAAGCTAAAACACCCAAATGAAGGTGGTGTTTGGTTTATTTCTTGTTTTTATTTTCAGTTGATATGTTTTCATTAATATATACAAATTGCTACCTCATTTTCATTTTGTTTCCTATTTTCAAAGTTTTTTTTTAAAGAAATGGTGAAAACATCAAAATGTTGTTTTCATCATTTCCTTACAAATTTTGGAAATAGGAAACTAAATGAAAATGAGGTTTGTAATTATCAATGAAAACATATCAACCGAAAATAAAAATAAAAACAAAAACGGACCAAACTAAATTTTTATAGACTTGCTTGGTTCAATAAAACTAAGGGACCGTTGAAAGAGGAGTGTAACTAGTTTTCACTTTATCCCACAAATTTAGTTTCTTTTGCTATAGCATGAAAGTGAGCTGAAAATTATTTTTCATCTTCTACAAAGCAATAAAGACTCAAGGAGCAAAATTGAAAAGCTTTCACCCCATTTTTGCACACTCCCTATTTTCTCCTATTTTTCCATTTTCCTAACTGCTATGTTGTAAGTAATGGTGTGTATATCACGATCGAAGGAAGCTTACTGAAAGCCCTTTTTTTAAAAAAAAAATTAATTAATTAATTTGCTTAAGCTTTGGTGCAATTGAGTTACCAGTTTTTGTCCCTTCACAGGAAGTGCTATTTTATGAGGATGGTGAGCCCATAATTGATGGAGAACCTGGAGATCTTAGGGTTAGTGGCTTAGTTTTTTCATGTTTATTTAGCAACTGTTTTGTATGCATGTTATAAGTGCAGTGTGTTGACAACATATATGATATTTGAGCAGTTTCGTATCCGTACAGCACCCCATGACCTCTTCAGAAGGGAAGGCAATGACTTGCACACCTCTGTCACTATAACTCTGGTAAATAATGCAATAGCTCGTATGCTTATCAATTACTTGAGCTGTACTTAGTTCCTTGGCGATATTGGACAGGTTAAGGCATTTAGTAAGTAGTATACTACTATTCTACTATCACAGCAAGTTGAATTATGACATCTTGTAATTTTGCAAACCGTTAACATCTCTGTTATTGGCTTCCTTAAAATTCTACGTGCATTGTTAAGTTTATTTTGTAACCTTTATCTTCAGGTTCAAGCCCTTGTTGGCTTTGAGAAGACTATTAAACACCTTGATGAGCATCTGGTGGACATAAGCACGAAGGTGAGCATCAATTATTCTTGTTGGAGATCTCAATTGGCATTGATATGTAAGTGTATGTATACAAAGAGGCACAGATCTGACAGACTTCTTTTGACCCTTAGGGAATCACAAATCCAAAGCAAGTGAGGAAGTTCAAAGGAGAGGGCATGCCGCTGCATATGAGCACAAAGAAAGGAGATCTTTACGTCACATTTGAGGTTGTATTCCCCAACTCACTAACGGAGGAGCAGAAAACAAATATAAAAGCAATTCTTGATTAAAATGCAGGACACGTTTTTTAAGCCCATTATGTCCTCAATGTAACATGATTAGGTGACTATAGTAAAAGTAAGCCCTGAGTTTCCTGCCCCGCCCCCTTTTTTGTTAGTTAACACAAATAGGTAATTTTTTTCTTACACATCGTTGAGCACGCTGTTCCGTGCCCTCCTGTGAATTCTAGCGCCTTCTTGGCTTGTTGTTTTTTTGGTCAAGATACAGGGAAAATATAACACGAGCTGAGAAGACATGATTACATTGACTTTGTCCTACGCCTTAAATCATTACTTGAGCGAACTAGACAGCACCTATGTTGTTAGTGCTGCTCAATTGCGTGTTCCTTTCTTCATGCCTCCTTTAGTCTTCAGTCATGGTTGATTCCTCACTTAAAATGAATAAGAGTAGGAAGATGCTGGTAGTTTGTAAAGAATTAAGTTTTCTCTTTGATAACGCCATCAAACTTAAGGTTGTCTCACTGAAATTGCTATTTGTAATGGCGCTAACTTGGAACAATAGAGAGGTTTTATATGCTGTAATTTTGATTTCATTCCAGACTTTTTCATGGGAATTAGTATGTTTTGCATTACATACAGAATGGTCATTCATTCGATGTTGATTACGCAAAAAAGTCGCCAATCAACATTCCTAGCAGGTTGGAATGGAGGGATTTTTCTTTTCTTTTCTCCACACAACATTAATTCTTTTGGTTTTCATTTCATAAATATCTAGACTAATTTAAATGTCACTTTTTTTTTAAAGAATGATCAATTTTCTTTCGAAATATGCTAGTTTATCTATGATAAAATGCTACAAAGATATGGAATAAAAAATAAATTTTAACCGTGAGAAGTTATTCTGCTACATTTATGGACCAATGTGACTTACATTCATTCATTCTCTTATTAATGATTATCATTGAGCACCACACTGTCCACTAAACTTACGTCAAGAATATAGCCCTGGTTTTTTCTCCTCCCCCTAATTCTTTCGATATCCAGTGAGCAGCATAGACTGCAAAGATGTCAATCTGATAATACTATACACCTATACAAAATCACTTATTTCTTTGGCATTTATCTGACTACGGATATCAAATTAAGGACGCAAATTAATAGTTATAATATTTTTTGGTGATATCTTCTGCATCTGAGTTGATTCGGCTCATCTCTCTCTCGGTTGTTGCATATGGCAGCATAACTTAAGTAAAGTAAATTACTGAAATGAGTTGGTAGTTTTGTTTTCTCATCAATGTACACCTTATATTCGAGTACGAACATGAAACAAAGTTTCAATTTAATCATGGACATTGAGTATAATTTCATATCTAGAGTATCCTAAACAAAATGGAATACAATATAACCAACAAAGTGAGAACGGGTCAGCAACATCCTAGAATTCAGCATCGGTGCAGTTCAATAATCTTCATCATTCATCCTTCAACTGTTTCATCTACCTCAAAAACCTTCCTCAGTTTCTCTTCATCTGATTCAAAAACCTTTCTTGCTTGCTTCAGTTCTTCATTCATAGACAGCAGTTCTGTACAGCGGTTAAGTTTTGGCAAATCCTGCAGCATATAAGGAATTTTATGGGTCCAAGTCAAATAACAAAAGATTATCATGAATCGGCAAACAATTATAATGGTAGTGTGATCCTGTAGTCTAAAGGTGGATGTTATGACAGCCTACTGCCGTGTGAGCTCAGAATCTTCTCTTTGAAGGCCGTAGCATTTCAGGTTTTTTGCGTGAACTGCACCAAGGCTTGTATGAAATTCTAATTTTTTTTAACTACTATCTCCTGAATATGGCCCTCCGAAAGGTTGTAGAATAATCAGTTCTACGTACCAACCACTAACGGGGTGAGTGAGTTTTTTCTTCGTTTTATAACAAAGGATTATGAGTTAGTCTTCACTAGTTTCTAATAACATCAAGGTGCATTTGCTCAATTTAATTGAACACTGGCGAGGTAACCTTCATTTTAGTGGATCATAAATATATGGAAATTTATCTCTCAGAATTCTTGGCCTCATGTTGGAAAAGTTTCCGTCGACACGTGTTTGAGCCTTTGAGGTACCAGAAAATTACCCTAAGCCAGTAGCTTGCAACTTATATAATCTATGGTACTTGCATTTAGTTTTGTTGGCAATACTTAATAATCCCTGAGTCATAGTTTACTCAACCTTAAGTTTGACCAATAAGCAGAAATCTAATGCTTATGATTGTACCCATTGCTATAAAACAAAAGAAAGAGGAGAAAGTATCGACAAGAGGAGGAGTGGAATCAGAACCAGAGGAACATATAGAGCATAATTATGCATCATGCATGGGTGGTTCTCAGCAGACTGGCAGGGTCAAAGGAGCAGACCATGGTCCATAGAGTTCAAAATGAGGGTGTTGATAGTATTTAGTCACCAGAAATATCGGATGCCTAGGCCTGTCAAGCTATTAGAATGCTAACAGTGCTAATATTCATTGTTATCATATTTATGTACTACAAAGTTAACATGTTGCTGCAAAGAGTGAAGTAATTAAAGGAAAGATTATAGTTCTTACCTCAGGTTTGACAGATATATTATGTAATAAAAAAACTGAAGCCTTAGGACAACCCTTCTTGTGCATGTTTACTGGTTTAAAGTTTTTAAGGACAATTAATAGAGTTTGGCTTGTAGAAGTTTATGAAGATGACATACCCAAAAAAAAAAAAGAAGTTTGTGAAGATGCTACTTGAGAAAGAGTTTTCTGCAGAAGACCTTTAAAGAATGGCATAAAAAATTGCATTGGATAAATATTGATTGTGTTCGAAGGTCAAACAGAGATGTCTAGCTAAAGAATTACTATTTATATCTACGGAGTAAAGGCTGAGATAACTGGCAAGGTAGGGTCCAGCCTCTCCAGCCAAAAATCTGATAGGCAATATCAGGGATGTGGGTATGAACACCTGGAGATAGTGGATGCTTTGGAGACAATACTAGCTAAGCTCGAAATCGTAATAGTTGGTCCTTTCTGGCGCTATCCTGGCCTATTTCAAGCTTACAGGGACGTGGGTTAGATGGTGGTGCTCAGGAGATAGTGGATCGTAAACCCATGACCCGAGTTGGTGGGCTAAGGTGGGCTTAGCTGCCTAGCCAGCAGACGGTTAGGATACTCAGACCGTACCTCAACATCCCAGGTCAAGTAATCTTCAGGTCAAACCCCCAAAGCCCTATCCGGGTATTCTCCCCAGAACAGATTGATCCTTGTAACAAGTTCACAAGTATTAGCCTTGATCACAGCAGGCCTTTACATATCATGCCAATAAGCAATTGAAGACCATATGTTGATAAAGGCCAACCAGAAGAGCAGTTTCTGGCTAGTAAAATATAAGAGTTAGATATACAATTGCGCTATGAAATTCTGATGCTGAATAAGTTTGGAAATAAGTACTTTTGCAAAAGATGTCCAATTCAGTAGAATATTACTACGGTATATAAGTGTTTCATATAGGATTTTTCCATTAGTTTGTGCAGGAATCCTGTTTAATTGATTTATTCAGTTTTGCTTTTCTCTTCTAATACGTAAGATTTGAACATTTTTAAAAAGGGATTAGGGGGGGAAAATAAAATAAAAACTTCTTAAAAATTCATGGTCCCCCTTGAGAATAATGACGTCAGGGATGTGTGATATTTGATTTCATGAACAAAAGAGTACCTTGCGAATCAAATAGAGGAAATCCTCAACAGATAGCTTCCCCCTCTGTGATCCAATATCTTGGGCTTTATGCACCTTGGCAGAAAAACTTTGCGTAAGGACCAAAACAAACCACTCCAGGGCACTCAGACTGAGTTAAACAATTAAAAAAATTAAGAAGATTCATACCAATTCAGTGACATATTCCACAACCATGTCCTCCATAAGTGCCACGCTTTCAGGAAGCGGCTAATTCCAGAGTCAAACAAGAATAAAAGTTCAAGTTAACATACATAAATATTTACAATTAACACGATAAATAAAAAAATAGAAAATCGGTTTGAAGTTAAACGATTACCTAACTACAAGAACAGAAATTATGTTTACATATGAAAAAAAGAAAAAGAAAAAAAGAAAAAAAGATGGAATAACGCTTACATTAGGATCATCTCCAAAGCCATACATCATGTGCTGCACTATAGTAACCCGAGAAGAAGATTAGGAAGATAGATAGAGATAACTAGAGTAAAATAATAAAAATTAGGGGGAAAATAAAACAAAATTCTTACGTTCTTTTTGGAAAACTCCTCTTTTGCGCTTGGAAGAAGTTTCCGATGGTTGTGAGGAAGCTGCTCTAGGTTTTGATGAGGTTCCGGCAGAGGAATTGCTCATTGTTGTTGCCGAATGCTTTTTTTTTACTATTATGTTGAATAGAAACTGGACCTAAAGAAAAAGAGCAATTGAAAGAGATAGAAGAAAGCTTAGATCTTCGGGTGCAGTGTGTGAGGGTTCTGCTCTGCACACAAAACACCGGAAAATGAAAACTGGAATCACAACTTCCAACCTCCTCAATTCTCTTTTCAAGTTTCAGATGAGAAAAAGGAAAAGGAAAAATAAAATTAAATGAATTTGGACTTTGGAGATAATGGACTTTCATGTGGGCTACTGAGAGAACTAAATTTCATGTTGGGCTCAAGGTATTGATATGTGTAAAATGGATATTTTTTAGATGCTCTTGACTTCTGAGCCTTTTTGGGCCCAATTAACAAATGGATTTACAGCTGAATTTTGATGCATGATCCGTTATTTGAAAAAAAAAATATTAATTTGGATTTCGTTTTCCTTTTTCTTTGTTTGGGTTTTATGTCCTCTATTATTATAAAAAGTATATTTTTATGTATAAAATTATTAAAATGAATATGTGACAATAAATCATGAAATCAAGACTCAAGAGTGACGACGATAATAGTGGTGGTCGGGGAGAGATTAGGGATGTGCATGGATCGAACCGAATTGGTTTAAATGATTCTGTTCAAAACTGGTTCGGTTCGGTTCAAGACTGGTTCGGTTCGGCGGTAGACGGTTCTGTTCGGAACCGATTCGGGTCGACCCTATTTTGAAAAGAAAAAAAATTAAAAATAAAGTTATAAAAATCAATTTGGTTCATTTGAAAAACTGTTCGGTTCGGAAACGGTTTGGTTCAAAACAGTTCGGTTCTTAAATTGGTTCTAAAAACTGGTTCGGTTCATGAACTGGTTCTTTAAAAATCGGTTCGGTTCATGAACTGATTTTTAAAAATCGATTATTTTAAGGACGGTTCGGTTCAATTTTTTGATTATTTTGCACACTCCTAAAGGATTTGACCCCATAAGCGGGACCACCACCCCATAGCATGTTGCCGCCAGAAGCAGAACTCCGTATTTCTTCTAGAGAATCTCCTAATTGTTCCAGAGCAACTAGAAAGAGATTCCTTAACCAGAAAGAATTCAGTTCAGATGTAGGATACCTATCCAGAAGTTTTCGCAACTCAATCATGTATGATGGAATCATCAAAGATTTGACCTTTTCGAACTCTGTCTGTAACTCACTAGAGACTCGAGAAACAAAGAGAAGGTGTGTACGAACGAGATGGATCATGGGTTGGCAACGAGGTGGCGAAAGTGGCAAGGTGACAAGACGATATTGATTGAAGTTGGGAGAAATTTAAATTTTGAGAAAAAAATAATTTTCACTTTTATTTTTTTTTAATAAACCAAAATTTTCACCAAAAAAAAGAAGATATTATGACTTTTTTTTACAATTGATATTTAAACATTCATTTATAGACACAAGATTTTTTTTTTTAGAAAAAAAACTTTGGGCGAAAACAAAGGTAGCCCTGTTCCATTTCCCCACCTTGTTTAAAGAAAAAATAACATGTAGAGGAAAATGGTGGTGGAGAAGCTTTTGGTGGCGTTGCATTGTTAATTCTGTTTTAAATGAGAAAAAATGGAAAGGAAATAAAATGGGATTTTAAGACTTGGGAGGGAGTTTATATTTAGGTGGGCTACTTCAACAACTTCATTTTATTTTGCGTTAAGAGTATTGAAGTATCTGAAAATAGGTTATTTTTAATGCTGTCAAGCCTTTATTGTCTTGCATTATGGACCCCACTCGCAAATGGCTTTTATAAGCTGGATTTTGATGGCGTTTAAGACAAAGTATAAGTGGGTGTTTCTCTTTTAAAATTAGCTTACCTGTAAAGAAAAAGTAAAGTATATAAGAAAAAGTATATTCACCTTTAAATTTTAATATCACAATATACTTTAAATTAAGCTAACAATAAATTCATCCTTATTTACACACTTTATAGACAGGTTTACTTTAAATGAATTTTATACTATATACATTGAAAATGGGTTTGAGTTTAAATATAGAGCAGATGATGATGAACCTACAAAATGAAACTAATAATACCCAGAGGTAATATCGATTTTTCTGTTTTTATTTAATATTGATTATTTTAATTTTTTAACCAATACTAAAAGAATTAGTCAACAAAACTGCTGTATATAATTCCTTCTGAAAATTTTCAAAAAGGTTTAGAATTTTTTTCTGATCCAAGTTAAATACTATTATCTAACTCGTTTTAAATTTTTTACAAAAAAAAAAAATCATTATATTTAATTTAGAGATAAGATATTCTTACTATTCAATATTTTTATTATTATTCTGATCACCATTAGATCCCTCTTTTCAGTGACAATTTTCAAAAAAATTCTGAATAGAAAATAAAAAATAATTTTTAATGTACACTTCATAATATATAATTATATTAGAGTATAGTAAATTGATAATAAAAATATTTAATAATAAGTATATCTTAAACATGACATCCTTCAAGGTCCTGGTTAGGTTGACTTTAAGTTTTGGTTGGCATACATTCATTAAATCTTGACCACAGTTTTTATAGCTGCAGGACCTAACTTTTTCTCTACTTTCATAATTATATAACTATTGAATATTTAATGCTTTGCTTCCCGTGGACTTTTGTAACTTGAATTATGTAGCAAAATTAAGAAGGAAAGTCGGCATACTACCTTTTCAAAAATGGAAATAACTAAATTAAAAAATTAAAAAAAAAAACTTTACTTTTTTATATTATAGTTTTTATTTTAATTTATATTAATATTTTTAAACCTAAATTGGAAATAATTAAATCACTTGCAATTTTAAAATAACGTCATTTTAAAATTTAAAAAAATTATAAATTATTTTAAAAATTTTATTTTTCTCTTATATCAAATTTTATCAAAATACTTATAATTTTTTTTTCAACTTTAAAATGTCATTTTAAAGTTGAAAAAAAAAATATTTCGTATTGAGGGAGAGAGGTTGGTTTTTTTAAATCATAAAATTATATCAACATTTTTTTTTCACACATCGATTGTCAATTTTATTTAATAATTGCAAAATGAATAATACTAATACGCTTATCATGCTTATTTCAACAAACAAAATTTGACATCAATAGTAACTCCAGCATTCGCGCATTCATTCGTGAGAAAATTATTTTTTTTAAAAAAATTGTTCATTCTGAACAAGAAAAGGTGTAGCTGAGTCGGAGTGACGCTTGGCGTTTGTATAGAGTAACAAAAACATGATAATCCCGACGCATAAGGTGATCCCTCGGAACAAAAAAAGCTTTAACCGACACGTCAGTGGATGTAGGCGTGTAGTTCATCTAACCCCTATGACGTGGCACTTCATCTAAAAGTTTGGATTGGAACCTGTCAGTTATCAATATCTCCAAACACGCGCTTTCCTACGAAATATGCAAAACACACCCGACACATTCCCCTTCCCCACTTCCACGTGAGAAGAAGACTACTATTCCAGATTCTTCGCTCGCAAATCGCATTTCTCAAACCAAACACGGAACGACGCCGTCGCCACTATAGTCTGAGTGTATGACCAACACCAAGAGACTCCGTCGTTTCTTTCCCAAAATTTGGGCATTAAAACCTAAACACGCAATAATAATAAGGGTAATATTTTTCTTCTTTCACATGACACAAACAATTTTTTTACAGACACATAAAATAGATCCATCGATTCATTTACTTTTTTTATTTTAAAAAAAGAAAAATGTTATAGTTACTACCTCTTATTGTTACTACTAAATTGTAACCATTGATTTTCGTCAATCTAACAATTATAATATATTAGAAATTAATAATTAATTAATAAATATGACGCAATAAATTATAACCGTTAGATTGACGGAAATTAACGATTATGATTTAACAAGTAGTAACAATAAGAGGTAGTAACTATAACCTCTTCCTAAAAATAATAGATCCCAGATCCCACCGTTGATCGTCTGTATGACATTACTTAAGAATTTTCCTATAACATAATATTTTTTATTTTTATTTTTTTGGCTTTCCACTTTTCCCCTCTCTTTAAAACGCTTCCTCGTCTTTCTCTGAGTCTCTCTATTTTTGTGTATTTTAAACAACCGAAACCAACTGCTAAACGCCGAACACAACTCTAAAGCAAAAACATCATCGTTGAGAACATTGTGTTGTGTTGTCAGAAAACCTAAGAAGAAGAAATGGAAACTATGTGTTTAAAAAGTGGGATAGTTCCCTCGATCTCTATTGGTGGATCTCTGGATGCACGTGCCAACCCTTCTCAGGTGAGAACGGTGGCGCGCTCCGCGGCGGAGAAACCCCCGCAGACGTCGGTGTTTTCCAGATTCTCTTTTCGGTTCCCTTTGGAATCTCTCTGGCCGCGGCCGCGGGGAGCTGGGAATGGCAGGTACAGTGGCCTGGCCCTTGACGACGCCGTTTTGGTGGAGAACGGTGAAGGGAAGGACGTTAGAGACGACGGCGAGGATGACGGAACGAATGGCCCCGAGGGGCAGAGTGAGAATTGGGTTTTGAAGATTTTGCACGTGAAGTCTGTGTGGAAGGGGGAACAGGGGAATGAAGAGGAGGCCAAGGCCATTGATCAAACCAATGACGATGAGGAGGTGTGTAGTGATTGCAGGGTTGATTACGATGATGATGACGAAAAAGATGTTCAATTCGATAGAGACTCATTTTCCAGAATGCTACGGAGGGTGTCGTTAGCTGAAGCCAGATTGTATGCGCAGATGTCACACTTGGGGAACTTGGCATACGCTATACCTAAAATCAAGGTATGAGATAGAGTTCAGATCTTTCTTTTATTCTTGTATTTGCGCTTTTGCTTTTAATTTTGGCAACATTATAGATCATTTAATGCTCCTCCTGCTAAATCTGTCCTCATGAGAAGCGAATATTTATTTATTTATTGTTTCTGATTTGACAAGGTTGTAAATTCTCATTCATACATACGTTTTTGAGACCTCAGATCTACGTTGTTATGAACTGATCTGGATGATTTGTTACAAACACACATTGATTTGTCTAACTTTTCTCACCTTATAAAGGCGAATGATTTGGAATGCGAAAGCTTTTATTTTAACGTGTTATTAGCGCCACCACTTTCTGGGTTTGCTTTGTGTTAGATAATGGATAGGTATACAGTACATATTTCAAAAAACCCTTGGAATTGGAAGGTTTAAGGTTGAAATTGACGAGGCAGTAGTCTGAAATCAGAATGTTTTGTTGGAAATGCCTTGCTGTAAAACTTGTTTCATTTTGTGTCTAATTTTCCTCATCTAACTTTGGAACTAAACGGAATACTTTTCGATTAGCGAGTATAATTTTTAACAACTACGGAATACTCATCTCTTGTGTGATTTGAGTGATGTTTGGCATATAGTTCTGCAAGGAAGATTTGTGGACCAGGCTCTGTTTTTTTATGCTGTGCATGGAATTCAATTGCATTTTACAATTAAAGCATATATAATTGTAAAGCTCTGTTATTGATTTTTGTTCATATGATATTTCATGAAATGGATTGACAAGTCTAGGAATCTGATTTTCCACAAAATGCATATGAATCACTAATTTATATTTTGTCTTTGATTATTTAGCCAGGGAAACTCTTAAAACATTATGGTCTGCGTTTTGTAACTTCATCAATAGAGAAGAAGGAATTGGCAGCAACAGCTGAAAAAAATCCTCAGGAAGTTGAAACTAATGAGAAGGAAGAAGAAGAAGAAAGAAAGGAGTTGAAGAACGGTGGATACAAGATAAGTGCAACTGCTGCTTATAATATCGCTGCCTCTGCTGCCTCTTATCTGCATTCTCAGACAAGGAGCATACTTCCATTCAAATCTTCAAATGCTGTGGCTGGTGAAGGTTCACTTGAAGGAAGCAACGAAAGCCTTGACAGTGTTAACATGTTAAACACAGAGGTGGCATCTTTTATGGCAACTACTGATTCAGTGACTGCAGTGGTTGCTGCAAAGGAGGAAGTAAAGCAGGCTGTTGCAGATGATTTAAGTTCAATACGATCCTCACCCTGCGAATGGTTCATCTGTGATGATGACCAGAGTGGTACAAGATTTTTTGCTATTCAGGTAGGGAAAATTAATCAAGGGCATTTCTTTCTTTTTGCACTATAAATTCTACGCTTGGTTGCAGCTAGTAAGTTTGCTGTAATTTAGGAGCACTTAAATATGATAAAAAGATTATTATTGTTCCCAATATCTGGCTGCATTATTTAGCTTATGATATTTTAGAGTGTATCTATTCACTGCCACTTTCGGATGTTTATTTTCTGGTGTGCTCCTTCTCACTATTTTTTAAAAATAAATATGTAGGGTTCTGAGTCATTGGAATCCTGGCAAGCAAACCTACTTTTTGAGCCAGTTAAATTCGAGGTAATTGTTAATAACTTAATATTCGTGGATTTTATCACATGTCATTCTTCTTGCTAAAGGGCAAAATTTTGTTCTCTTTTCAGTTATAATTTAATATTTTTGAATCTTTCTTGATTTGTATCTATCCTGAAATTGAAATAATGATGTACATAATTTTTCCTAGGTGTTGGATGTCCTTGTACACAGAGGTATATATGAGGCTGCTAAAGGGATATATCAACAAATGTTGCCAGAAGTTCATGCTCACCTAAAATCTCAAGGTTCTCGTGCAACTTTCCGTTTCACCGGGCATTCTCTTGGTGGAAGCTTGGCATTACTTGTGAACCTCATGCTGTTGATAAGGAACGAAGTGCCAATCTCCTCGCTACTTCCTGTGATAACTTTTGGTTCCCCATCCATCATGTGTGGAGGCGATAGTCTGCTAGAGAAGCTAGGATTACCGCGGAGTCATGTTCAGGCAATTACAATGCACAGAGACATAGTACCACGAGCATTTTCTTGCAATTACCCTAACCATGTGGCAGAACTACTAAAGGCTGTTAATGGGAACTTCCGCAATCATCCATGTCTCAATAACCAGGTAAAGTCCTGGTTATCCATAAGGTTTTAAGTAAATAAAGAAAATTCTTTCATATAAGCGTCTAAATTACTTGTTTGTGAATTTTTTACTGCAGAAGCTCCTATATGCACCAATGGGTGAACTACTGATTCTACAGCCAGATGAGAAATTCTCACCAAGGCATCCTCTCCTTCCATCAGGCAGTGGTCTATATCTTTTGAGTTGTCCTTTGTCAGAATCCAATGACACAGAGAAGCAGCTCCGAGCTGCTAAGTTGGTCTTCTTGAACTCACCTCATCCACTTGAGATATTAAGTGACCGAAGTTCTTATGGTTCTGGAGGGTCCATACAAAGAGATCATGACATGAATTCCTACTTAAGGTCTGTGAGAACTGTGATTCGTCAAGAACTTAACCAAATCCGTAAAGCAACAAGAGAGCAACGGCGCAAGGTGTGGTGGCCTCTTGTGTTACCACGTGGAGATGAGGCCACTATTTTTGTTGGGAGGTCAATGGTACCAGTCAATACTGGTCAACGCCAGTTCCCCTTCACTGGCATGGTACAAACAGGGAGAGAGTCCTTGAAAAGGTTCAGTAGGCTTGTTGCATCCCAACATATGCATTTGTTCGTGTTACTCTTACTCCCTGCACGGCTATTACTCTTGGGGGCATTTAGTGTGATTAATAGATGAATGTAAGATTATTCATTATTTATCGTGGTGGACAATTGTATAGGGTGAGAGCAAATGATTAGTAGGACGTTAGATTATTCTTTATTCATTTTCAAAATTGAAAGTCATATTCTGTCTCTCATGAATGCTGCTTGTAGAGGAATATTGCTCAAATATTAACACATACAAATCTAATTGATTTCGTATTCCAGTGATGCTTATATTGGTGCAACACTCCAATTAAAAGGAGTTGAGTGCTTGGTTGGACTAACAGGAATTAGATGAATAATTCAACAACTGTCTATAGGTTGTTATCCCCAATGGAGGAAGTTTGCTTGCCCAAGATATTAAACTTGTCGTTTGTGGACATTATTAACGGAGAGTCTCATTAATAAACGTCTTAATAAGCAATGGTGCGTTAGCGCAAGATACCACTCTTGCGTTACGTGCGGATTCCAGAAAGTCGGTGTGTAGGCGTGACTTAAAATGTGGAAGATGAAATCCTTACTTCGCAAGATAGGCAGATAAGGAAAGACATTGCCAATTCATGACAACGAGTCAGATTCTTTTGTTCCCACTCGATGAATCATTTTATGCACATGTTATTCACTTGTGTCAAACCAAAGATAGCCGACAAGTTTGGGAACCAGATTCTTTCGTCTACTCAACAATTTATAGTCAGTATTATACGGATGATGTTTTCACTGACAGACAAAGTAATAGTCCACACCACCGGGCCAAGTGGCTCTGCTCCAATGCCTGTCTATGTGGACCTCAAATTTTCCAATTTCTGCGCTTTTGGCGGCATTACTTGACTACACGTCGATTTGGATATGGTTAAATCGCTTTTCCTTCCCAGCACTTTCTTTTGGGACAGGGATGTATGCAAATATATGAAACAGGCCTAGAAAAAAAATCTAACTCTAAAAGGAAGGTCAAGAGCAATTAGCTTATCAAACCCCTTGATTAGTGCAACTCGATTATAGTAACGCGACGCTCTGAGTACAGTGGATGGACTAGTCGATATTATGCTTTGCAATAGTTTCCTTGTTCTTAATTGATTGATGGAGATGGTGGGTCACTACACACTTGTTATTAGTTGTAATATATCAAAATATCAATGACTGTCGGATATTTTTATCAGTGCGTCATGCAAGTAATTGTACAGATTCAAAATATCAAATGATTTTATTGGTTTGTGCAAATCTGCTTGTGGAAATTATTAGCTTCACATCCATGCATGCGCCGAATAAAGCTTAGATATTGTTTCTCTATCAGACTATCATTCAGTGTTTTAAAAACGAGGCTTGTTTTTCCCAAAAAAACAAAAACAAAAAAACTAGGCTTGAGGTCAAAAGGGCCAGGAGTTCAATCCGATAAAAAAAAAAAAGAGCAAAAAAGTAAGCGATAATAAATTAACTACAATTAATAACAATAACCATTAAATATAGTTTTAAAACAATATTAGTATAAATTGTTACATCATATGTTAAATTTAATGCTTGTTTGAGTGCCTTATTTTTAACTTATTTTCCCCCTAAAGCATAAACTTAACCAAATATAATTTTATAAAAACTCTTATTATAAAAAAAACTTTTTTTATAATGAAGAAAAAAAATAAAAAAATAAAAAAAAGTTAAAAGTTCCAAGAAAGAACTTTTTTCTAAGATATATGCCAAAATTTTGAAATCCTCATATTTATTTTTTAATTTTACCCTTATTCTAAACTTGTATTTATAAATTTTATCATCTACCCTAATAACCTAATAATTTATTATAATAACAAATTATTTCATCTTCTTTCTTTCAAAACCATCTAAACAACTTAATGCAATCACCAAATAACTTTTAACTTTATTTTTTAATTTTTTTTTTAACTTCAGTTTAAAAGTAACTTTTAATTAAAACAAATAAAACGTACCAAACATGTTCTTAACATCTCGAATACTTGTGGAATTGAATTAATCAAAATTGTTACATAAAATGTCAACCTATCATTGGACACAATGTAAAACTAATTTACAGATCAAAACTGAACTCTTAAACTATTTTAGGCGTTCAAATGTGTAGGTTTTAGAAAATGTTTAGACAGAATACAGAAACTATGTATTTTAAGAGTAAAATCAATGCATTTCTTTTAACGGTTATATTTATCTCATTTTGTATGAGATAACTAAATTTTCTATACATACAAAAAATAGGTAAGTCCCACTTCTTTTTTTCCTTCCTCTTTTTTATGAATTCCACTTGCAATCTTGTTTCTACAACATAAGATAACTATTTTCCTACAACATAAGAAAATTATTTCCCTTTTAAAATAAAAAAATTGATTTCTTCAATCCGATAACTGGTTTATTTTGGCATTCTAGTTTTTGGAACGGTGGTATCGAGTATCAACTGCGACACAAAAACAAGTTCTCATACAATGTTGAATATGCCAGGTTCACAAACATAGACCTCCAAGAGATCACAGTCAAGATCTGCTGGCCATTAATTTTGAAACAATTAGCCATCTAAGTGGTTTGTTGATCCTTTTTTTTTTTTTGGGTGTGTGTGTAGTTAAGGTAGCATGACTATATTTGTGTTTGGACAAGCATGTGCACATATACATGACGTACACAACACCTTCAATATTATGAACAACAGAACATTAAAATAGGCTTCAACGATGTGTCACTCAATGGTCAAATACCATACTAACTCCTGGATGTGAACGAAGAGCATAGCAAAATTAATCCCTCCCAATATAGGACACCAAAGTGGGAAAAAAATAACTCAGCCACATTTATTCTGTCCTAGCTTAATGGTTAATGTCCCATGAATCCCAATTTTTTTTTCTTTTTTAATTTAAGTAAAGTAATAACTACTACAATAGCACTGAAAATATGCTCAATATGAGATAGCAGAAAAAAAAATCATAGAAATAACACATTAACAAAAAAGAAAATGGGTAAGATATATAACTTATGCCAGCTAGAGAGACCACCATGTTTGTTACCTTTAACTACAATAGGGAACAGAGACTACTTATTTTATTCATGCGAAGTATGGTGATTACATTATGTTTCCATGGCAGACTCGCTTGGTCAACCAATAAGCTGTAATACTTCGGTAGTACATCTCACAAATAGCATAAACATTCTAGAATTCTTTTACTCAAGAAAATAGGTAAAGTAAATGCAAGATATAGAGAACACTGGGATCCTGACTTAATATAACTCTTCAGAAGGAGCTCAACCATCTCTAAAAAAATGGGAAGCAGAAACTGAATCAGAGATCAATTTTACCTGCCAAGTACCAAGAGTGTATTGCAAGGCTTCCAAACGACATGATATTGGCAAGCGAAGATAATCCATGAATCATACCAAACTTCTTATTCATGGCTGCAAGCTTTGGGTTTGTCTTCGCAACTTCCACATTTTTTGACCACCCAACTTCTTCCCCAATACTATTTTCTCTCTCCACTTTATGCCTTTGCTTCATCATCTGTATCAGAACAATTAAATGGTTGTGTATTATAAACTATCAAAAGGTGTAGTTAACGGTTCACAGCTTCACAGCATAAGATGTTGTCATGACACAAATATTTGATGAGAGATACGATTAAGATCTTTCCTTCAGTGCTGCCATTAATGTAACAGATGAAAAGAAGAAGAAAATCAAGGAGGAAAAGTGGTAGTTAGAACAGAATGCGGGCAGTAGACAGAATGAGGCAGCAGAGAAAAGAGATTACAAACTTTTACAAATCATAAAATTTATTGATGATTAAAGAATCAAAGTCACTTCTAATAGTAAATACGGAGATGATGCTCAGTATATAACAAAATATACATAAACAATATCTGAGCATATGTATGTAAGTCCAAAATACTCAAGTTTCTATACAGAAATGAGTGGAAAGAGCTGGAACACAATGCGTAATGGTAATATGAACAGAAATAACAAAAGCCAAAATCAGAATAATGACGATCAATTGGGCTACCCACCTTTAAAATGTGAATGCGAAAGATCTCCTAGATTAAAAATTAAGAAACCACTAGCCAACTTATCAACAAATTCAAGATGAACAGAAATTATAGATTTAGATGATTAGTTTGGTCTTCATTTAAGTCAATTTAGGTCAACTGGTTGAATTATGGAAATGAAAATCAGAATTGACAGAATCCAGAAATGGGATCAACTTTCTTAAGAGATTTTAATCACTTAAGATTGTAGACTTTTGGCAAATAGATAAATTGTTGCCGGTGCATGAACTATTGACAAAACAATTAACCTAAAGTTTGGAAAATTGATTTTGCTAAGCAAACATACAAAAAAAAAAAAGGGCATTGATATTCACTAGAATAAGATAACCCAAGAATGGAATGGAAAAAAGTAGCAAGAGAAATACGAACTGATAAAATTACCTCGATGGTCATGGGCGTAAAGACAAACAAGTTAGTAAGATTGAAAGCAAAGGAAGATAGCAAGAAGCCAAGTTGGTATCTTTCAGCAGTGGATGAAGTTTTCCACGGGTGAAGGTAACCAAAGCAAGCCACTGACGTGGCGCAACACACACCCACCATTGAGAAATACGCGGGAAACATCTTGCTTTGCAGGTTACCGAACTGATGCCTCGGCAGATTCCTAAAATCCCCCCAGTGAAACAAAAATCACAACCAATTAAATAATTACATATATTAGGGGTACCCACTTAATTAAGGGGGAGATAAAAATACAATACTTGAACATAATGATGCCGCCGATGAAGGTGACCCATAGAGCGGAGCCGAAAGCGGTGGAGAAGCAGAGGATGTGAGCCAGTTTGAGGTAGGTGGAAAGGGTTTTAGATTTTGATCCGAATGTATCAGGTGAGAATATCACTCCTATGGCTAAGAAAGCCACGGCCGTTATGAACCGAGTAAGCCAACCCATAGATTGCACTTTGCAGTGACTGTGGTTCCACCGGTGCCGAGGGACGAAGACTGAGGTTGTTTAAGGTTCGAAGCAAACACAAGATGCTTTTCCTTTCTTATTTCTTTCTTACCTACCAAACCTATCTCCATCACCGCTCGTTGGAATTAATAACCGGTTTTCTTTTGACTTTCTTACCATTTTTTTTTTCTTCTAGATTTTTCGGCCCAACTCTGTAATGGGCCGTTGAGCCCATACAACTTGGGATTTCGTCGTCCCGCCCCCAAAATCAAAAAGATATAAAAATTCCCTCGCTTTTTTCATTTTTAATTACAAAAAAAGAAAAGAAAATAAAACCCTTCATCCTCTTCTTTCTTCTCTCTTCCTCGACAAGTTTGCTTTACGATTTCGCCCGTGTGTATTCTACTCAAATGTTGGAAACGAGATATCCGTCGCGAGTCTTTTGCGGTGTTAATTTCGTTCTCTTTGGTTTTGATTCCGTTACTGAAAGCAAGGTTTCTCCATCTCTTTCATTTTATTTTATTTTTTCTAATAATATTTTTCATTTTCTGATCTGGAAGGTTATTTATTGTGTAGATCCGATTCAAACTTGTGAATGGCGGTGGAGTTGATGTGGGCCAGTACAGTGGAAGTTGCACGCATGTCATTGTTGATAAGATTGAATATGTGAGTTCGATTCCGTCTTTCTTTTCGTTTGCTCTCCCTTCACTTGGCCTTTTACTTGAATGGAGAGAAATATGTGTTTTGTGTGTGTAGGACGATCCTGTGTGTGTTGCTGCGAGAGATGATCGGAAGACGCTCGTCACTGCGTTGTGGGTTGAACATAGTGCTGATATTGGAATGCCCGTTGATGCTGCCTCGGTTAGTTTGTTCTTCCTCAATTGCTGTTTTATTCGAATGCATTTTGGTACTGTAAAAGATTCCTTTAATTATTATTATTATTTGATTAAGTAGCGAATATTTAACTTTTCATATTGCATTATAAGTTGCACGGTATAGTTGTCTTCGTTCTATCTTTCAATTTAATGGGAAAATTGGTGGGATGTAACATATAGGATTCAAGTTGGGGGCACCTATAAGGCTAGTCTATGATAGTGAAGATTGGGCAATAAAGTGCCAAAAAGAGCCAAAAAAACAAAGTGACATGGAGATGAGAATTTTGAGTTTGATATAGCCCAAGGCACTGTTTGTTTTATGTAGCTAACTCACCTAGAGGGACAGGCTTGGTTAGTAGTTAAGATATTTTTCTACACTTTCTTCATTCCACATAAAAGGGAATAGAAATTATTGAAATTGTTTATACTTGAAAGTATTTATGGATCAAAACATGAGAGCATAATATAAGTCAATTTGTTTTGTTCACATTCTATGTCCAGAAATTTCTTGAATTTCTACAAGTCAATTTGAGAACCAGTAGTGGATTTTATGCATGTGCTTCTTTGTAGGATGAATTTATAGCAATTTTACCCTCTGACTGAGCAAATTATGTTTTCCATTTAGCAGGTTATGTACAGACCTCTTAAAAATTTAAATGGAATACCGGGTGCGAAAACTTTGATTTTGTGCTTGACTGGTTATCTACGCCAGGATCGGGATGACATTATGGTTGGCACCTGTTATACTATATCGTATTGATTTCTTCTAGGAGCTTATGCACATTTTTATGTACCGGTACTTGACTTCACCTTATTTTCCCTTTTCAGACAATGGTTGGCCTGATGGGTGCACAGTTTTCTAAGCCATTGGTGGCAAACAAGGTTACTCATCTTATATGCTACAAATTCGAAGGTCTGTTTCATCTTTTAATGTTCTGACATTTACAATCAAGAGCATGAGTATGCTACTTTGCTCACCCAATTGCTTTATATTACAGATTATTCATGTGTATTAATCTCATTTAATTCTTTTTATTATCTTTTAATGTCTTTTTTAAAATTTAACTTTCAATATCAAAGTATTTAGTTATTTTTGGCATATAGGGGAGAAGTACGAGCTTGCCAAGAGGTTGGGCACAATAAAGCTAGTTAATCATCGTTGGTTGGAAGATTGGTATGCATGTCTTTTTCCTGTTTCACTTGGAGTTATGAGGCTTATAACTTTACATGGATATGGATGAAATCTCATCTATTTAAGTTTTTTCAATTGACTGGTTCGAATTATAAATATTTGAGGTTCTCTAAATCTAAAGTGCTGTTTATTTCTTCAGCTTGAAGAATTGGCTGCTTCTTCCTGAAGACAAATATAACAAGAGGTCAGAATTTGTACCATGTGGAGGTGTAAATGTAACATACAATATATTTTCATCCACATGTTATCATGCAATGCAATTGTGGCATTCCACTTTTTTCAAGTTATTGGATGAACTTGATAATGATTGTGACAATTAATCTTATGAATCCAGAAACGTTAGCTTAACTGTATTGGAGTGTCATTTGCTTTGTCCAACATCCTAATGTTGATTTGCATAATGCTCCATGTGCTTATCTGTTTTCGCATTCGTTGGGATTCCAAGTTTATTTCCACTTATGCACTTGCAATGTTCACTGTCGTGTCACAAATGGAGGGGGTGGGGGAGATTTATAAAGATGCACTTTAAACTGACTGACATCAAGGCATCTGGATGAATTGGGGTAATAGGCATACAATATGAAAATTGAAAAGGAGATTATGTTCTTGTTAAAAGCTCTAAGATGAGTACGATGCAATCACTCATTTATTCTATGATATGATCATTACATGTTTTTTTCACTGTAGTTTTGAAAGCTCTTATCCATTTCAACCAATGACTCAACATTTTTTTCTTCTCAACCAGTGGTTTTGAACTAGAGACGATGGAGGAAGAGGCTAAGGATTCTGAGGAAGAGGCTGAAGATTCCAAGATGGGGCAATCAGGGGGGAGAAATAGAAACAAAAGTCCCCTTAGTTCAAAATCTGGTATAGCTATGACTCATGGATTATCAAAATCAGCAAGAGAGGCATCAAACGCCTTCCCAGATTCTACTGGTCCACAGGTTTTGCCAAAAGTTGATAAGGGTAAAGACCCTTTAATTATTTCAGGAAACCAGAACAGATCTGATCAAGACTTGAGCTTTCATTGTGTTGATGACCAAAAGATAAGCAGTCCGGCTCCTGTTGTTTCTTGGCATTCTACATCATGTCAACTACCTGACACATTTGTTAAGGCCAGTGAGTCTAATAATGCTGATTTTCCAAAGGCACTTGGCTGCCAGGATCTTGGCATTACAATAAATACAAATTCATCTGATCAGCAACCTGATCTGCATGATGACGCTTTTGGCTCTAAGAAGTTGGTAAGTGACTTGAGATCAACTTCTGCAAGTGCTGAAGGATGTGAACATTTAGATGTAAAGCTTCGTGCTATGAGTTATGCTAGGAAGAACCAAAGGGGATTTACTCTTCCAAGGACTTTAGATGAATTCTCAGGCAGAGAAGTCAACAACCTTGAAACCTCTTCCAGTAAGGTGGAAAAGGCAAGTGAGGGAATCAAATCTACCTGTCTTGAAGGTTCTGGGAAACGAAGTGATTTTGTTGAAGGGAATGAGCCAATTAGTTTATTGCCTCAAAAGAGGACAAATGAAGCTGCTCCTGCTTCTACTAAATTAAAATCAAGAAAGATGACTGCTGACGCAAAATTATCCATTGAAAGAATGCCATTAGCAAATGGAAAATCTCAAGGGTTAAAAGTGAAATCTTTGGTGGACGAGGCACCTGTGGCTGACGGCTGTTTTTCTGTTAGCAAAGATGGTATAAATAACTCAAGCATTTGCTTGATTTCTAAATCTGCAGCTTGTACCTCTCACTCAATGGCATTTGATGAGCCTTCCTCAAGAAATGTAAGCTCTGAGTCTGCTCAATGTGATAATACCTATCAGAATTCAGCACAAATGGCTGTTCAGAGCTTGAGTGAGTGTAAAAGTAATGGCAAGCCTGATATCACAGGTTTTGGAATGGGACAAGTTGATGATAATAAAGCTGAGCAACATAACGTCACTAAATATGTGGAGTGTTCACCTCCAGGAAATCAGAAGTCACGGAATGAGGAATCCGCTGGTCTTACTAGTTTGGATTTAAGCAATGAAGAAAATAATAAGCTGATTAGAAAACCACCTCGCAAGAAGTCGGTTGCCAAGAGAAGTTTGGGTTCTAGACCTAAATTTGGTGGCACTGCTAAACAGAAAAGTTCAGTTTCCTTGAATAAAACTACCCCGCAAGGTGAAGGTGTATGTTTGCCCAGTGAAAGTAAAGAGATAGCAACTTGTGATGCCAATAAGCTTCAAGTGTCCCCTCAAAGCCTTGATGTTAATAAATCAATGGAACAAGAAACCATTATTAAATATGCAGAAGATGCTGGTCGCAGAACTGAATTTTTGGATGACGAAACAGAGGCTCCAGATGACAAAAGTGAATATGGGTTAGGAATGGACCTTGATGAAGAACTGTTTCATCTTTCAAAAAAAGCAGACACAGCGACTGAAGAAAAGTCAGGAGCAAATCATCATACTACAAAATCTGAAGAAGGAATGCTTCCTAATAAAGGTACAAATGAAACTGAAAAACAGAAGCCACCTTCATCGGTAGACTCAACCTCAAAATTAAAAGAAATGCATCAAGCGAGAAAATGTCTTGCAGGTAGAACCAAGAAGACTACAGTTGCCAATGAATTATTGAAATCTGAAAAGGCGGTCACAGCAACTGAAGAGAAGTCAGGAGCAAATCACCATAAAACAAAATGTGAAGAAGCAATGCTTCCGAAGAAAGGTACAAATGAAACTGAAAAACAGAAGCCACCTTCACTGGTAGACTCAACCTCGAAGTTAAAAGTAAAGCATCAAGCGAGAAAACGTCCTGCAGGTAGAACCAAGAAGACTACAGTTGCGAATAAATTATCGAAATCTGAAGAGGTGGTATCAGAGAAGGTTCATAATGAGACGAGACATCTGGCAGAGAAAGAAACCCTGGAAGAAATGTCCCTTCCTTCTCATATAAGTGATAACTCAACTGTACCAAGAAGTAAGTCAGGGAATTTTGTAGAAGAGGAGAAGGAGAATAGACCAATTGATGGAGAGCAGGATGTAGTGGAGGGAAGAAGTGTTGGAAATCCAACTATTAAATCTAGTGTAAAGCCAGCAAAGATCAACTCTAGGAGAATGGGGCTCAATCCATCAATATCAGAATCTAATGCAAGAGTGAAAACTGAAGCCGCGTGTTTTATATTAAAAGGGCATTGCCTACAGAGAAAGGAGTTTCAACAAGTAATCAAGCGTTTAAAAGGAAGGGTTTGCCGGGATTCTCATCAGTGGTCATATCAGGCGACACATTTCATAGCCCCAGACCCTATACGCAGGACTGAAAAATTTTTCGCTGCTGCTGCATCCGGAAGGTAAGAAATATCAGGAATAAACAAAAATAAAATCCGTATAGCCCGCCCCCTTCTACTGACAGTGTATTCAAACGTAGGCAAATCGGGGAAGGGAAAGTTTCGCTGTAACCTCTCCCTTACATGAGTTTTTAGAGCGGAGGGAAATTAAGGTGTTACAACTCATTTTTCAAAACTTCCCAATTCCTACCATTCTTTGAGCTTCGTTAATACGGGGGATTTTGAAGGAGAAAAATCTAATTTTGAACATAGGAAATGAAAAAATATCAATTAACCTCTTTCCCTTTCCTTTCATACTCCAAAAAATGGTCTGTTGCCCGCCTTCAATGTAGTTTGGCTTTCTTTTATGTATGTAAAATTGTAAATATTCTAATTAATCTCAGGTGGAATGCAGGTGGATTCTTAAAACTGATTTCTTAACTGCCAGTAGCCAGGCAGGAAAGTTCTTGTTAGAGGAGCCTTATGAGTGGCACCAGAATGGTCTCAGTGAGGATGGTGCAATCAATATGGAGGCTCCGAGAAAGTGGCGGCTGTTGAAAGAAAGATCAGGTCATGGTGCCTTCTATGGAATGCGAATTGTTGTATATGGCGATTGCATTACCCCGTCTTTGGTATGTTTTCTTTTGAATTTAATTTCGTTTAAATATATTCTTTTCCTACATGCCAATACCTTCATCTGAAATGGTTAGGCATTAGACTGGTCTTTATGTTATGATGCAGTTTTTTGTTCCAAGTATAAGTTATATATTCATTAATAATAACAGTTTTCCAACCATTTATTGTTGAATTTGACGTATGTTTCTGATCCGACTTAATTGGTTGACAGGATACTCTGAAGCGTGTGGTCAAAGCTGGAGATGGAACGATATTAGCAACTTCTCCTCCTTATAATCGCTTCCTTGGTACGGGGATCGACTATGCCATAGTTAGCCCTGGCATGCCACGTGTTGATATGTGGGTCCAAGAGTTCTTAAAACATGAGATACCTTGTGTTGTAGCGGACTACTTGGTCGAGTATGTCTGCAAGCCCGGGTTCTCCCTTGAGAAGCATGTATTGTATGGCACTCATGCTTGGGCAGAGAAGTCATACGCTAAACTTCAAAGTATGGCAGAAGAGATTATTGAGGAGCTCATTCCTCCTGAGGATTGCAGTGATGATGATATAATTTGCCAAGTATGTGGATCCCGGGATAGAGGAGATGTAATGCTGATTTGTGGTGATGAAAGTGGTTCCCTTGGCTGTGGAATTGGTACCCATATCGATTGCTGCGATCCTCCACTCACAGATGTTCCTGAGGAGGATTGGTTTTGCCCAAAATGCAGTACAACCCGAAAATGCTCAAACAATCCCATGAAAAGGAAAAAGTGTCCCTTGTCTTTATCTAAGATTAAATGATTTTCCCTCCCCCTTTTTGAGTTGTCACCGTATAGGAAACTTACTTGAATTTGTACCAGCCTAGTTGTCATAATAATTATGTACAATCCTTTGGTTTTAACGTATTAATGTTGATTTGAAGACATGTTTAACATATATATGGGATCTGATAAATGGCAAATGAGTATTTTAAATTGCATGAGCCATGAAGTTCTGCGTTTATGCCAATATGCTTGACACTTCAATCCAGTTTTATTATTTAAAAATAATCTCACATGTTTGTCACTGAGGGTATTAAGAGATCAAAGATAAGTTTACCAAAAAAAAAAAAAAAAAGATATCGAAGATAAAATCTTTATTGTAACATGTAACAGCCAGGTTTTGATTTTATATAATCTTTGATCTCTTAATAGAGGTATTGTCTTTTATGCTTATTTTAATCTCAACAAAGTTTTGTAATGTATAAATTGGTTTACAATACAAACATGGAGAGAGAAAAAGAATGAAAAAAGCATTTAAAAAGTCCAAACTTCTGGGCTGTGCTGTGCGCTCAGAACTTTAAACGCTGCTCTGGGAAAAGGACAAACAAAATAAAATGAAATCACACAATGCTGCTTTCTTTTTTTGGGCTATTTCTATAGAAAGTTGGCCCGAAAGCTTGACAAAGTTCAATGGCCATTTACCCAATCATTAATGTGGCAAAACGCTCTGCTAATGTTTCTTTACTTTTGTGGCCAATTCGCCCAGGAAAAATGCACTATTTCTACTGCATGCTGAAAGCAAAAAAAAAAAAAAAAAAAAAAAAAAAAAAAACTATGCTATATGTCAATGTTTATGTCTATTTATTTATTTTCTGTTCCATTAGATCAAAATAACATCTTCCCTTTAAGCTTCTGTGTTCTGCCTTGCTCATTTCCTTCAATTATATGTTTTTCTCAAGTGCTTATGAACCCCATTCAACTTCTTGCTTTGGTTGAGCAATGAAATTCAGTTAAATAAATTGTTGAGCAATAAATTTATGGGAAAAATTATTATCCTTTTACCCTATTTTTGTTTTTTTGGCCCGGGGGGTGATTGGCGTTTGCTTGTTTGTCCACTTTTTTAAAAAGCATCAGTTTTTTTTTAAATATATATATATATATTACTTCATACTACTATGGTAAAAAAAGAAACTACTACACTATGAAATAAAATTTATAATCTAGTCATTAACTTGTGAAAATTGTTATGCTCTCGTCTAAATTAGGTAATCAATTACACGAAGGTGTGTGTTTGAATTTTTTTCTTATATTAAAGTGTTCATGGAGGAGAGATTGTCTCATTTCAAAATAGTCACATACTACAAGCCTCAACAATCATTCTCCATAAGCTTGGATCTGTCAAGATCATAGACCCAAGTCACTGGGCATTATTTATCATACTTTCATATCGCCTAGTTTTATTGCTGAAGAAGGGAACATATATTTTTATCAGCAAGATCTCCATCATCTCTCTCTCTTGGAACACACTATCATCTTCAGGTTACTTGATTCAACATGGACTCGCCAGCTTACTCTTACTATTAAATTATATATACTTCAACAACATTTGAAGCCGCTCCTCAATGGCAACGCACATCTTTGAAGACAACAAAAATTCAACACAATCGCAAGCCAGAATAGAAAATTCTCTTGAAGCACTCAAACATCGCCAACCAGACAATTCATACTTGATGACAACAAACAAACAAGACATGAAGACCGACGTGTTACCGAGTAGTTACATTGTATCCTGCTTGGAACACTACACTACGAGTAACCGGCCTAAGCTACCATACTTTTTGATGCACATTCATGGGAAGCTTCACTAGTGCTTTGGTCACTATCACTGCCACTATAGACACCCCCTATATCAACATATTTCACCCTCCATGGGACACATCTTATGTACCCCCGCTGTACAATACCATAATTAAGTTGGGCTCGAACTAACAAGTATTTAGCTAAAGGAAAGTTGAATATTTAAACCTAGGGTACTTGTAGATACTTTTGTTGAAGGAAGTATACTAATATAAGGTTTCACACTTGAAGCGAAGATTATTGAAATATTCAAATGTGGTAGAATCTCACATTGGTTTATAATAAATTAAGTGAAGTTTATATAAGTGAGAGGACTCATTACTTTAAACTTAGTGTAATTTGGCCTATTGGTGATGTAGTTTAACTAGTTGATGTCGCTTGAATAAGAGGAGGAAAGTCCTTGGTTTTGTTGTAACTTTTGTCCATCTTAAACGAGTTCGTTGGATCACGAAGCCTATCGTTGTACAATTACTTATGCTTTGTTTCACACCTCTCTTTTTTAAGATAAAGTTAAAAAAAAAGTCTGAAAAACAAAGTTAAAAATGGTTTGATGATTATATAAAGCTGTTGTGATAGTTTTGAATGAGTGAAAATAAAATAATTTATTATTAGGATGAATTGTTCCTTGAATTCTATGAATTTGTTTAGAATACTCTTATTTGACCATATACGAGAGCTACTTTGGATTCCGCAATATTTTTTTCGTCTTCTTTCGTTTCTCGACGGTGAAGTAAGACTAAGCTCATGAGCTTTTTATCCTAAGTCGTATATAAATAAAACTTTAGAATAAAGGTAAAACTATAAAATAAATATGAGTACTCCAAAAAATTGATATACATCTTAACAAAAAACTCCTGTTAAGAGTTTTTAACTTTTAATTTTTTTTCTTCATTATATAAAAAAACCATTTTTATAATAAAAGTTTTCATAAAAATATGTTTAGTTAAGCTTCTACTTTTAAAGAGAAGAAAAACTAAAAAAAAAAAGTTTTTTGTTTATTTTCCCCGAGGGAAACCTCAGAAAGTAGGAACCACCAATCTCTATTACAAAGACGTACTAGGCTTACCGCATACAACTTTTCAGGTGCACGTGAAAATTACAAAAATCTTTGATTAGCTTACTTTTTCCTTGGGGTGTGCATGATTAAGTTCGGTTCAATTTTCTTTGTCGAATCGAATTGAATTAAAAAAAGCAATTCAGTTATGAAAAGTGAATTGGCTTATTAGTTCAATTCAGTTGAACCGGTTCATAGCAAGTTTTTAAATTCAATTCTTAATCCAAATTAAAATTACAAAAAGATTGAAGGAAAAAAATTAAAAATTAAAAATATATATAAATGATATTGAAAATTAAAAAATAGAAATAACTGATTAAAATAAAAAAAATAAGAAATAAAAATACATAAGAGAAAAAAGAAAATAAAAAAAAGGATAAAAAAGGAAAAAAACAAATAAATAAATAAGAGAAAAAAATGGAAAGGGAAAAGGAAAAATAAATGAAAAGAAAAGAAAAATATAGTTCAATTCTTGAACTGTTTTTCGGTTCAAGAACTAATTGTTTTTAAAAAGAATTCAGTTCAAGAACTCGTTTTTAAAAATTAATTTTGTAAGTGTAATATTTTTTGTGGTTCTTTTTCGCACCCCAAAAATTGATTTTTAAACCAGTTCTGAACCTGATTGATAAATATGAAAATATTGAAGAAAAATAAAAAAATATAAATATAAATAATGCCATAAATTTTAAAAAAATAAATAAATAATTAGAAAGAAAAATAAAATAAAGTAAAAATATGAGAGAGATGCATAAGAGAAAAAAGAAAACTAAAGAAATAAAACAATAAAAATAAAAATAAAAAAGGTACTAAATAAATATAAGAAAAATAGAGAGAGAGAAAAATAAAAAATAAAAATAAAAAATAATTCGGTTCGTAATTTTTTAAACCAATTCAATTCAGAAAAAATTTAAAAAAATATTTCAAAATGAAGAATTAATTTTTTTTAAATGTTTAATTTACACTTCAGTTCAATTTTTCAGTTCTTTTGTTCCCCCTACTACTAACGAAGTATATGGTCCTACAATTATGATATTCTTGACAATACCATTTTCTTTGGACTTTCCGGTTCAGCCACATGATCTGCTGGGTCTGTCAATTACAGTGCGCAAGAACATATCCACAACCTGATACCTCACGTTTTTTTTTTTTTTTTTATTAAATGTTAAGAACTGTTAATTTGTAGTTCAACTGAAACTTTAGAAATAAGAGTCGAAATGTGTTCTTCACCTTTAGTAGGAATGGTAACGACCATAGTAATTTACATGCGTGTTCTTTAATGATGGAATATTTAGATTTGATTGATAGGCAATATAAAACATTACACTATGGTATGATCATATCCTGAGAATTGAGATCCTATTAACTAATTAATGGAATCTTACTTCAAAGTATTGGTTATTTTTCACACCACTCCTTGAGCTTGGAATGGATTCAAAAGCCATCATCATTCAAAATATAAGTAAGTTAGCAAACTTGATATATAGACTAGTGTTAGTAGTGTGCATATAGTGACATAAAAACTATTCACGAGATGAGTTGTAAAGGAAGATTGTTCACCGCGGACTCAGATCTCAATAAAACTCATCCCTTTTTTTAACTTGCAATGAAATTCGATTCCCCATGTCCCCAGCTACTCAGAAAAAAACACACATTCCTTTTCTAACCTTTTCTTTTATGCCTCTTTGCATTACATTATTAGGTATAATGAATAATTAAAATACATAATGTGAAAAGAAAATGTCAGATATTTCATCCAGCACATTATGACACGAGCTCTTAAGAGAAGACACTACGTAATCCATGATTGTTTGGACAGAGAAGAAGGCACATGATAGCAGCACATGGTGCCACTTGCATGATTATATCTGGCCACGACTTCCCTTCTTTTCAATGTTCCCTTCATTCAAACATCACGTGTAATACCCCCCCACCACCAAAAATAAAAATAAGAATATCCTCTTATATATTTCGTGCCTTTCTCTAGGTAAAGTCTCCTTAACGAGAAATTATATATGTATTACATTCCATAAGTTATATGGCTTATAATATTTAATATTAAATAGTATATAGAATATAGAATATAGTACAACTCCTCTTAAACAGGATATATATTGGTGTCGTTTCATGTGAACCAAGCCTAGCCATTGGATATAGACTTAGTAAGACAAGTCTTTCCT